GTGGAAACCTCCAATATCTCCCTGGTGTACTATTTAGGATGGGGTAGACTGCAGCCTAGCAGTTCCTCAGGCTGTAGGTGAACCAAGCCAACCCACTCAGATGCAGCTGGCTGCATCTGTATGGCTTCTCTAATCACTTCTGTCCCACGATCCTTTAATGGATCAGGTTGATGTAACTTGATCTCTCTCAAAAAAGAGCTTTGTCAATTATCTTTTAGGAAAGAAATGAACCTGAGAAGATCAGGATTGTCTGCCAGTACACTGCTGCGGTGAAAAGCATATCAGTAGAAGGAGTTTTTGAAGTAACAACAAAAATGCCTGAAAGCTTTTCACCAAAGTTAACCAAACTTTGAGTGAATGAGTGCTTGTCAAAAACGAGAATGTTAATCTGAGAGAACCCTTCTGCAGGTTATGCTTTTTATTAATTTTTGTGGGCATATACACTTTTCTTACTGTGTATAAATGATTCAGATAGAAGTTACATTTTTTGTAATATATGAAGAGCCTGTTAATCTTGGCAAATAAGAACCCAATAAATTTTACCTACTGTTTTGTTCACATGATTATTTTTTTGTACACAAAATTTATTTTGTGCACATAATTTCCCCCCCCCCCAGTTGCTTTGGTAAGAAACTCAGGGGTAAAATTCTATTATGTATATGAAATGGATAGCTAACTACAAAAGGAAAACCAGATGGCAGCCCAACGGAAGTACCAGATGTACATCTCTGCATCTTTTATATATATCGAGACACCCAGAAACACAAATTTCTGTTGTTTACCGTAGAGGAGCTCATTACCCATATTTTAAAATTCAGAACTTTCCTGATACTTAAGAGTATACTTCTATATTCCTGTCAGTACATAAAAATTGAATCCAGGTCATTGGCAAACGTGCCTACTGTGGGCAGTCATATTCCAAAATTGAGGTGGCCAGACAAACACCTGCACCTACAAACAAATTTCAGTTAAGTGCCTTGTGTTGCACGTGCTCATACTCCAGGTGGGATTATGGCTTTACCTTGTGGGGAGAGTGGGCAAATGTTGCTGGAATGAGGACTGCATAGGAGTAAGAGGATGTTTACATTTTCCCCTGTATTCTGTAATAGCTTTCAATCAAGAAATTTAAACATGTGACTCTCCAACTACTTTCTTTCAAGTCCAGCTTATTGAGGTTTGTTTAAAGTCCTGCTAAAACAGTTCATTTCTAGCTCAGTTGGAACTTCAGATCTTTTGTTCTGAAATCCCTTTCTTAAGCTGCTGTAGTTTTCTTGTTCAAACAACTCGCCTGGAAGACAAGTACCTGGTGCACTCCTGCCATGTATGTTTTCTCTGCATTGAGAGATCAATTTTTGCATTGAAAATCATAACCAAGAGTTAAATGCATTATAAAATAAAGGTGGTTTTTTTCCTTTAGAGACTGAAACATATGGTTTGAAACATTAAAAAAGAGAAGCCTGGCAACATTCTACATTGTTCATTGCAGACTCCTAACCTTGGGCTTAAGTTTTACAAAGATAGATTGACTTGTGGGTTTTTTGGGGGGGCTGGCTTAGATACCATTTTGAGGATTGGAAGAAGGACCTACCTAGGAGTTGATGTCACTGAAATAATGCAGGTAGGAGTGTCAGAAAGCTAATTACACCCTGAAAGCAGCACTCTATAGCTGGGTTTCCTTTATTTTGTGAAATGCCCTGGACTGAAACAAAAAGGCACCTTCTGAGCCATTTTTTTGTACAAAGATGGCATTATCTGCAAGATAAAGTTTGGAAATAGTTATGAAAATACATTGCTCTTTCAATGGAACATATACTACAGGAGGAACAGTAACACCACTACAAATAAGGATACTGCATTTCTAATTGCTTTTTAACTTTCTCCAGCCTGAAAATTTGAGTGCTTGGCCTCTGCCTGACTTCTGGAATTTGGGCACAAGAAAATAATTGCTGTAGAGTAAATTAGTATCAGCTACTTCCCAGTGACTGCCCGATAGATAAGATGTGTTTTAGCCTTTTCACAGCATTCAGGAAAACAACTTTGTTAATGTTTGGGTATACATGAGAAATTTCTGGCTCTATCACTAACAGGAATATTCAGGAGACCCTAAATTTTCATTTAGAGGGTAGACTGAAAAAGGGTAGCGGCAGTTTTAAGCTAAACTTGTGCTGTAAACCTTGACATAAGTGTTCTGTTTTTAGCTTAATAAATTGTCCATGAAATGTAAAAATCCAAGGATGGACATTTTAAGTGAACTCCTGCAATGGATGTTTGTCATGCCATAACTTTCTCTTGCTGGGCAGCTATGTCCTTGGCCCTGCTTCTCAAACAAATGGGTGTAAATCAGAAGTAATGGTTGTGAAGCCTATGAAATAACAGTAGCGTAAAAAGTCAGGAGATAAGTATCAGAGCCTTGCCTTGATGCTGTCAATTTGATTTGCCTTTTCCTTTCTTGTTTAGAAAGATATTTCTGGAGATAAATATCCCCAAAGATAGAATTGTATTGACTGTACCTCATCAAAATCAACCTGGTTTTATTTCACCAAGATCAGTGTGGCTGTAGCAAAGGTGGATTTGGCTTCGTGTTGATCTGTTGTAAATAAACTTACTTCCTTCTGGGAAAAGTCTCCTTTCCTTCTAGGAGGTAGGTTTCATCCAGGTGCTCCTTCCACTGCCAGGCTTAGCCTCTTTTTGTCTACTGTTCCCTGACGTCTAGTTATTTCTTTTGTGCAGGAAGCAGATGACGCTCTGTGTGCTGAACCGTCAGGAGGACAGAGGAGACGATGCTCTGCGGGCGCTGTGGCAGTGAAACCCAAGGCGTGCCGGCCATTCTGGAACAGGCTGAATTCGAACCTTTCACTGAGGGAATTTGCTGGCAGCAGCTCTGCCTGCTGTATGGAGCCAAGGGTGTTAACAGTAGGAAAAGCAAGAATGAGAGAAGAACAAAGCCTATTTTCCCCTGTCTTTAAGGAGTAAATGTTATCTTTGGATGGACTTTGAAGTCATCCAAAATTCAACAGGGAAAAATGTTAAATGAAATTAGCTGCAGATCAATGTTTACACCTTCTTCTAAAAGAACAAGAGCTGTTTAGGATGCTAATGCTACATCTATATGACCCAACCGAAGTGCCACGGTCCTTTCCCTGGGCCCAAGGCCAACCCACAGCCTGTGCCAGGGATTGCTGTACCGGTCCAGCAGTGTGGATGACCAGGTCCCAGTGACCGTGAATGGGCTCTGCTGGAAGTACTAGCATAGAGGTTGTCTCAGGTGTGTTTTCAGCATATTTGTACCAATGTGTAACACTGACATATGTTCATAAAGTGAAAGCTGGCTACTCTGTTGCTTTGGTAATGTTTGTTTCAGTTCCCACTACACCTCCTCTTGAACTCCTGTCTTAAAAAAGGCAGGCTTCATTGCTGCAGCCCATAGCACTTGAAGTGTGAAGTCAGGCAGAGGAATTCAGAAGAATTTAGCCAGCATCTGATCTTACACAGGCCAAGTAAAAGTAAATAAGGCTTTTTCTTGGCATGAAAGAAAGAGGCAAGAAGGGCCTGAATCTGACACAGGTAACTTTATTTTTAAAAAGCAGGTTTCTAACACACACCTGTGATCTGCAAATTCAGGATTCACTTCTAGTAGTCTCTAAAAATCCCTGGTCCCTGCAATCATCACTACGGTTGCTCAGCCAAGTGCTCAGGGAAAGCAAACATAGCCAGATTAATATTTTGAAGCATGTGTCCATGTTAGTATTCATGCTGCAAATAAGATCAGGAACTGTGGCTTACACAGATCACCTGATCTTGAGTAAAATACCAACTCGTAATTAGCGAGGGAACTTCAGACTGGGGGCTAAGCGCATCTACCGCACAGACACGGATCTGATTAGGCTCTGACATGTCTGTGGACAACGTGCAGTGTGTTGCTTGCTGAACACACGCCAAGTGATTTCCCACGGAAGCCAGTAAAATACTTCTAACGCCGCTAACGAACTTGAATATTTGTGTCTTTCCCTAACGCTCTTCGGAGAACAGCCCGTCTTTTTATAAGGGCAGCAGCAGAATGACGAACCGTGGCAGGGGCTGCCAGACACTGCTCCTGTGCGGACGCGTACGGAGCAGGGTGTGAGGGAAGATCGCTTACTGAAGCGATGTGGAAACTGGCCGGCCGGTTTTCTGGGGTACGGGCCGATCCAACTTTCGGAGGTCGAGTGGAAACGGGGAACGTGTCGCCTGCGGCTCTGGCGGCAACGAGGGGCAGGGGCGGAGGCGCAGCCCCCTCGCCGCCCACCCCGTCCCGGCCACCCTCCGCCGCGATTCGGGCCTCCGCCTCTGCCCGCTCCAGTACGTTTCTCCGCACGGCCGCAGGGCAGAGACAAACCCGACTAACGCCGGGGAAGGCCGCTGATCTTTCCCGAACTCGCTGGCAGCGGCGCGGCCCGCGCGGCCCCTGCGCAGCGGCCGAGGGAGCCTGCGGTGCGGCCGGGGGAGGCAGGCGACCACCGGCCGCCCCGCGCAGGGCCGGCGCCCCCTCGGCCTTGCCTGCGTAGGATGCGCCGGCCGAGAACGCGAGGAC